TGGTCATGTTCTTATTTCATCATATAAATGATCCGTCAGACGAACATCAACCATAGCTCCCTTCTTCAAAGTTCTGTTTGAATATTTGACTGAAAATCATATGGGCCTTCTGAGAAATGTATGTGTCATTTTAATTAAAATTGAAATAAAGTCGATATTGCACAACAACATTCTGCAAGAAACTTTTATGAGAGACAAAATATTTTTCTGACAATATGCAGATATTCCTCTGTAAAGAGGAGCAAAACATATTAATGTAAAGCTAAATCACCTTATTTCTGGACATCCAGTGAACATTAGGTTTCCTAATATAGCTACAATAATTGTTTGATGTTAAGAAGTTGACGAATGAGAGTGACATAATTTATGGATGACAACGTCTTTATTATATACTCTTTAAAAAAAGTGGGGCATACTCGGAAATAACTTTCGACAATTGTAAGAGATGCTAGTTTCTAGTACAAGTTGAATGAAAATAATGAAGGAATTGGGAACGCGTTACACCCGGTAGTGACGTATAACAGTTAATGTTATAACGGCCATCGCTTTTGAAGGACGATAGGGGTAAGATGGGAAATATCAAAGTTGACGTTTTTGGATCAGTGTTGAGTAATATCGCCACGATTTGTCAAACTTTCATTCACTGGACGAGGCATACTGCGTCTGAGTCTCCCAATGGTCACATCAGGGGGTCTGTTCCACTCCTCTAGCAGCGCCTGACCAACATGGTCGGCGGCATATGACGTTGACGCACAAGTCTCTCTATCATGTCCCAGACGTGTCCAGTGGGGTAAAGGTGTGGACTCATTGTTGGCCATGGCATTCTAGGGATGTTGTGCTGTTTGGGGTTGGCGTTGACGATTCGTGCACGGTGGACACGGGCGTTGTCGTCGTGAACGTCAAGACGTCGACCCAGACGCCTTGCAGACGGGACAACAAAGGGTGCCAGTATATCTTCCCGATAGTACTGTCCAGTGACCCTTCCTTGCACAATATTGAGTGGGGTCAGTCACAGTGATGCCACCCCACACCATAACAGATCCATCGCCATATCTGTCATGAGGTCTCAGGTTGACATTGGCTTGACGTTCATTTCGACGTCGCCGGACCTGACCACTGTCAATGAGGTGCAAAGTGAATAGGGACTCGTGATGACAAGTGACACAAGCGACGATTACCCCAGTTTTGACGCTGTGTACACCATTGAAGTCTGTTGGCAATATTACGATTTGTAAGGGGCGGCACTACACATGGCCGTCGACCATGGAGATGAGCCTCGTGTAGACGATTTCTAATCGTCTGAGACCGCCTCCGTGGTCTAGTGGTAGAGCGTCCGCCCGGAGAGCGGAAGGTTCGGGGTTCGATCCCCGGCCGCGTCATACCAAAAGACGTTAAAAGATTGTACTTGTTGTTACCCTGTCTGGCGCTCGGCATTAAGGGGATAAAACAAGCACTGGTCGGCTCGGAGTCAGTATACTGTGTCTGAGTGGAGTATTCATGTTAAACTGCGGCATGGTATCTTAGTGAGCTAGCACTATAAATCGGCATCAGCCCGGTCAAGTACAAGCAGCCACACACACACACACACACACACACACACACACACACACACACACACACACACGTTGCTATATAAGTACAATAATCTTGAACGCGACGTTAAACCTAATTTCACCTCACCTCACATCTAATTGTCTGATCTGCAACTCGAAGTCCAGTATCCTGATGAAAGTTTGCAGCTACTTGATTCGCTTTTAGAGCTCGATTTCGTAGAGCCTGGTCCCTGTTCAATCTGGATCAATCTGGATCGCCCTGAACGGGTACATCGTCAACATTATGGGTTGGTTGATACCTGTTCCATAGTCTGCTAATCACAGACTTTGAGATATTGAACTATTGTCCACTGCACGCTGACTTCTGCCAGTTTCCACCACGCCTATAGCCCGTAGACGCTCCGCGCTGCAGACACCGCATCGCGTGTTCACACACAAACAAAAAATGAAATCAAGTAAATCACAACTGTATGATAAGCAGATTCGATAAGATTAACAGAAATAAAGGTCCGCAGAGATTAGTCGACCTTCCTTGAAAGTGTAAAAAACAGGAATGTTGTGTGTGGCGCTACAGCGTGCGACACGTTCAAACTATAGGATGTGTTCTAGTGTTTTTACAGACATAAACGTTCTTCAAAGGGTTTTTTGTCGTCAACACTCTTTTAAGAGTATTATATTATAGCGACGTCTCAGTATAGATCTTTATACAATTGTCAAGCAATATGGTTGATGAAAGCTGGTGTTGTTTGTTGTTTAACGCCGCACTATTCCAGCTGTATGACGGCGGTCTGTAAATAATCGAATCTGGACCAGACAATCCAGATACTGACATCATGAGCATCGATCCAGGCAATTGGGATTGATGACATACATGAACCAAGTCAGCAAGCCTGACCACGCGATCCCGTTAGTCGCCTTTTACGACAAGCACAGTCGCTTCTTATGGCAAGCATGGGTTGCTGAAGACCTATTCTAACCCGAAAGATATTAGGTGAAAGATTTACAGTAACAATAATGTTTATACTTGAAAGAGATTAACATGAGTGGGTTAACAATAACACCAAAAGGAAACAATTGTCACAACGTGATGGACAGGGCGACACTATCGTTGAAGTAACAAATAAAGCCTGACAGAAAATATAAATTGTCTCTTGCATGGGCAAGAGAATAACCAGTCTAGATATTTCTGCCGAAACAGATTCCACTTGGCGCAAGGGCATACAGTTGTGGAAATTATATGAATGGACCACTGACAATCAGTGATGACACGAGGTGTTCGCGAAAAGGGTAAGCATGTCCTGCCCAACCGGTAGCACCCGCCATTCATACAATTTGCAAAAAAAGTAAGTATTTATTGCCTGATGCAGCAAAGCAGTACTCCTGCCATGCGACATCAGCCTGTCAACAAACCAGTCAATCAAGTGATCAGAGAACCAGAACATCCAGTGACACGAGAGTACCATTACCGATTTTCGTCGCATGTCTTCATATTACTGATTAAGTCAGACTCCTGTGCCTGACACAGCTCACAATTCTCGCTAATGTACATGCAGATTCATCATAATCAAAAACCCTTCAGATGAGACAAAGAACTGTGTCGACCAAATAGGTCATTAAAGCTTCGGTCAGATTTTACCTGGGTAGAGAGAAAAATGACAGAATAACTACAACACTTTAATATAGAAAAGATGAGCTGAATGAATGGCACTTAGTTGTATTATGTCAAAATATTTCGAATTATTTATTATTTCGAAGTAGTACGATGATCCGGTGTTGTATGGTGCCGTCCATGGCTGTGAGTTGTCTCCCTTAGCCGTGCATGATCCGCTGATTAAATCTTGGTCTGTCGATAAGCACCATATCTTGCATGTTGATATTCCAAAGTGATGATCGTCTATGGTAGGTGGCACTGCTACGTTCAAACCAGACCGTAATTTGACTGAAATGTTCAAAGCAGCGTTATTCACCATTCACTTACCTGTAAATACGCATACCCGCATAAACATATGTTGAAGACCTCGTAAGTGTGTCAATTGTGCCTTTCCCATTTTTGTATGTCGCAAAATAAAAAGGTTTATAAATAAAACTTGCATTTAAGATATTTGGATATTTTTATCTAGAACAAGAAAACATTCTGTTGTATTGTAGACAGATGCCGCGCATCCATAACTACAATAACGTCGCTTTGAGCTGGATTCTAATGACACGTTGCCAAAAATAGACGTCCAGTCAAATAATACGCGAAAGAAATTTTGTTCAAAGTAAATGATAAGCGATGTCACTTCTGAAATGTGGCTAATTGGCTTAGGGCGATTATCCTATTAGAATGGAGACATAAATCACTGCCTAACCGAGGATGATCACTGGTAAATATCGCTGTCTATCTCTGTTGTCATAGTGGTCTGTATAGGAAAATACATTGGGAAAAATAGTAGCACGAAATAGGCATAGGGTTGCAATGTTTGTCCATGCTGACGTCGTTCCTCAGGCCGCAATGACACTGCAAAATAGGTGTTAATAACATTCAACGCAAATATCACGACATTGATCAGTCAAGCTCTCAGTCTGAGAGTGGAATGAAAACGGAATCGACAAATCCGTAAAAATGTATAAATAAAAACAACAAAACCCTTTCCATATTCATAAGAAATATCTTCTTAAAGCAGAGTCCATTGTACGATTCCGACTATATCAAGAGCTTGTGTTTATGAATCATTATCAAATAGTGATGACACCAGGTGTTCGAGAAAAGGTGAGCTCACGAATCATTGGAATGTGACTATGATGTTATGGCAATACACGTGAGCATGTTGGTTCCCGACGGTAACATCCGTCAAAGGTGACGTCGAGGTCACTGAAGATGTTTCCTTACGCCCATTCACATTGAGGAAATATAAAGTTCACTCTTAAATACCAGAGGATTATAATACGGCCCTTGATAGTCATCACGAAACTTTAGATAGTAGTCCATGGCGTCGAAACTACCTTGCAGAGTTGTGTCCCTTAGATACCAGATTCTGCAAGGTCGAATCCAGCATTCGTCTTGATTGTGATCATTGGTTTGTCAGTACCGATGGTTTGACCCAAATTCCATCGGTTCGAATCCCATATCTGCCCCTATAATAACCAGTATCAGCTGTCACGGTGAGATCGTCATCGACCAAACTCCTTAACGTTAACGTCAACGTCAACGTCAACGTCAACGTCAACTTAACGTTTTTCTTCGACGTAAAACGTGATGTGGCGTCAAACGCCAACCTATCCACTGCCACCATGATGAGCCTGCTAGCATGGTGGCGATGTCATTTCCGTTAAAATGTCTGAAATGGAATTAGTATGTAAGTTTGAAAGGACTCCTTCCCTTGTCAAAGACGTTGCTATCATATATCTTCATCAAGATCACACTATTAAAATTAAAAATAATATAAAAATTTGCTCTTATTCCAGATCGTTGGGCGATGTGGTGGTCATACGAAGGATTATCTGGTAAGGCGATATTATTATTGTACCTAATATTCCTATTTGATTAGGACATGTTGCAGCAAGACTATTATTGAATAGTACGACATCTTGACATTAAGGAATAATAATGACGCATGTATGATATTTGTATTTTTGCGTTGACATTCTCCGACCGCCTCCGTGGTCTGGAGGATAGAGCACCTGACCTGAGAGCGCAAGGTCGGTGGTTCGATCCCCGACTACGTCACATGCCAAAAGACGTTAAAAGTATGATATTGTTGTTTCCCTGCCTGGCGCTCGGCATTGTGGGGATACAACCAGACTGGTCGTCCCGGAGTCAGTATACTGTGTCTCAGTGGTATGCGTCATGGTATCTCATGGTATCTCAGTGGGCTAGCACTGTAAGACCAGCATTAGTCCGGACAAGTACAAGCACACACGCACATACACACACCCGCACATACACACACACGCACGCACATGCATGCACTTCGCAACATAGCTGCAATCATTTTGAACGCGGTGTTTAACCCCATTTCCCCTAACCCATATACTCCAAGACAAATCCATCTGTGATCATTTTTCAAATCGCATTTATCACATTAGCGTCTTGTAAAAAGGACATCATCCAAATTTTATTTCTTTGAAGATGGGATGTGTACTGGTGTTATAATGGACGGAAGATTCCATTGCGATTCTTACACATTTGTCTTTTATCTCACAAATTCATTTATTATTATTTATATTAAGATCCTCACTGCTTAAAAAACAACTTTGTTTTCTCTGAATTTTAGAGTGGAGTAATTTTAGGGGATCCACATAACAGGTGTTTATTTGCTCAAGACAAAAAAAAACGATTATAAAAAGTATTCACAAAGGTCCCTGGGCTGTCTTTTCATGCTGTTGTTATATGCACAGCACAGAGCCATATATTCCACATCATCATAATCAGAATTAATTGTCAGTTATGTGTAATAACGCAAAACCACGGGGACTTTCTCTTTCTAAATTAGCGTAAGTTTCTCACAATATCCTCCAAAGAACAAAAACGTGAACAACTTCCTTGTCAGATCTGATAAATTGCCAGAGAAAGATCGGCATGGTCTTGGCACGTTGGAAGAAAGTGTTCATTAATTTAGGTGTACCGTTACAACGTTTCGGCCAGGACTTTTAATTGAAAAAGATCATTATTTCCAGTATAAGGTTTCACCACTTAATTTACTTTGCGGAGAGAAAGAGACAGATGGAATTCATACACGCAATGGCTACAGGTCCCATCCTTAACTGTCGACTTCTATTATCAAGAAGGGTTCTTTTCTTGTAAAGTATTAATAGCATGCTGGTTATGTCAACTTTCTGTCACTGGTGTGTACCCGGAGAGAGCGGAAGAGCGACACTCTGTTGTATAATTCACACAAACGGCTGTGATCATTTGCAATCTATTCATGCAACTTTGTATATAGACACAAACAATATGTACACTTGGCAAACCGTAGGCACCACGTTTTATTTATATATTACATAATATATTATGTATAAAAAGCCATTTAAAAAAATCCTATCCCATATAATTTACATTTTCTGACGAAATGCATTTGTTTTTGTTTATCAAGTGACATACTCAGAGTGCGTGAGTGAGTGAGTGAGTGAGTGAATGAGTGAGTGAGGTACCCATATTAATCTTTCGGGTTGACGGGCGAACGCTTTAACCACAAGGCCACCATACCACTCCTTTATACAGAAATCAAAATCAAAATCAAAATCAACTGTAAAAAATGCTTTTTATAATTTCCCCATGGCAATAGTTATTTGACTTTACTTTTAATTGTTTTCTCTGCTTTTTTGCATCATATGGTATGACTTAGTACTTGCATCAGGTACATTTTCCTGTATCAGTCGTATCGTTTCAAAACGAGACCATTGCCAATGCAGATTTTTCCAAATGATTGCATTTGGGGATAAATTAAATTTAAGAGGGAGTTTTCATTTTCTCCAGAAAATCAAGTTAATTCGCAATGCGTTATAAAGTATAAGGAAGTTTCTTTTGTGTTGTTTCAAACTGCATATCATTATGTCGAATAACTTATTTTTGTCACAGGCCCGGACTATTGGGGAATACTCAATCCTGATTGGACGATGTGTAAATCAGGTCACCAGCAATCACCAATCAACATTGAGCCATCTCGGCTACTATATGACCCCAACTTGAAACACTTAAAAATTGACTTTACATCGGTAAGTACACTTTGAAATATGTTTCACTTACGCAAAACAATGATGTCCAGAAATCATGATGTCAGAAAAATATTTTGTCATGCCTCAAATAGTTAGATACTTCAATCAGCTGTTTTACAAGGTCAAGGTCGCACAACGGCCAGCTAAGCCCCACTGGAAATGTGTGTGTAAGTAACTTTGAGATATTGGTAGAAAAATAATAAGGCGCCTATCCTTTTGGACATATGGCATATTCAAATCCATACTAATGACTTAAATAACGAAAGGGCAGATTTTTCATACTTCAAGAAAATCTAACTATGAGCAAATATGTGACCAAGCTATATATATAGCCTCGTCTTGGTACATATCCTAACACCACTTGCCCATGTTTATATATTTGTAAGTAATAATTCCACTATAATCTGCTTTTTCGACACTAAGTTAGCCTAATCTAAGTTCTAATTGACATGAACACTTGAATAACGGTTTCTAATGTCATCATTTATCCAGATACTGTGGCCAAAAGGGACCTTGTCATGCCTTTTCCGGTGGTGTTCGAAAATAATCACCTTGCTTGTATCTATTGTATTGTTTCGCCAACTCTTAATATTCTTGTGAATGTGAAATCAATTCTTAAAAAAGAATGTCAATATGTTTCTCAATCTGATTAGAAAGTTGGTTTTCAAGGAATTAGACGCTCAGAGAATCACACCTTATGAATACGGTACATGTTTCCTGCATGTTAATCGGAAATGCGACAGAAAACATTATGAGTCTTACAGACCCTGATACAAATATATATCAAATACAGCCCATGCAAGTCTATAATGTTTGGCAAGTCTAGATCACTGCAGTATCAGGATGAAGAGAGTCACTGGGCTCCTTTTTATTATATTTTTATTAAGATAACTAAACAACTGTTTTTTTATGTACGATATGTTCATTTCAGAGACTAGATTTTAGTCTATCTTTTGCGGCTACTTCTCTACTATTATTTATCATATTCCTTTTCAGTTATGCTTTAAAAGAGCGAGAATAATAGCATGTGCATAGAAGTGTCATTCGATGCTGATTGGCTAGTTGGAGCATTATGACGTCACATTGCTTCAGTGATGATGTCATTGCGATGTGAGGTCATCCATTGTTAATAACGTCACATATATAACATTACGTTATCCGAACAGTTGACACAATGACGCTTTGTGAGGTTGAGGTACGTGTTTTTTCACAACTGTGAGGAACTGCACTTTATCTGTCTCCGGTGAATGAATGCTGTTGGTCCCTCCAAATCTGTCTGGAGCAAAAATTTGTAATTCCCCGAAGCTGGTAATTCTAGTATTAAATTCGTACTGGAAACATTTACTTGCATTCTCTAAACCTGATGATTCGATTGTCATTGAATCCCACGCTTGGAGAATCAATGTTTTAAAAGAAGTCAATGACGTCATCAGCTTTTCACACCTGTTTTAGTGAGTGAGTGACTAAAATTCAACGTTGCCATCGGCAAGATTTATGCAATATAGGGACATAATATGGAGAAAGTGTGGCCTATAAGTTATATTACCATTGACATTTTTATTAAGAACGTCGATTATTGTGCATTATTGTAAAACAATTAGCGGATGTTATTGGTCAAGTTGAGCTTACGAGGTTTCATCTTGGATTTGGAATGTTCTACATGGTTCACTAAAGGATACGGGCTAACAGTAGTCCATGCTTAACTCAGGTATGGTATGCGTGGAGATACGGTTGTCATGGTTATAAGCATTCTTGATTACCCAGTGTTATTATATCAACAATTTATAATGATAAATGCCTTCAATACCATTAAAATCCCATCTTTGTTCTCGTTACCGCTAAACAAAGATCTAAAGATGACGGGTTACATCAGAACAACCTTTCATCCGATCAATTAGAGCGCCGATTACAAAACCTTTAAAGGGCAAGTTCACACGGAAATGAACCAATTGTTCTTGTACTTTTTCCACATTAAAAGTGTTAACATAGAAGTGTCATAGACAAAAATATAAAAACATCAAATTTAATTAACATATTTTTTGCATTAAAACGATTTATATTTTTCACTTTTACCAAGTGTTCTATTTCCATAACAAAAACACCATGGCTTATGCCCCTTGCAATATGACGTCATTGGTGCCAATTGATAAACATTATGACGTCATCATGCTTTGTTAGAGCCGCTTCACGTGGTGTAGGTACAGTTTTGTGATTCTAGCGTCTCAAATGCCAGCCAGAATTGTGTTATGCTGAGTCACCACTGCGCCGGAGTGTGTCGTAGACCATGTTGTTTTACCGCAAACTGGTCGTTGATATCTTTTGCGTTGAGAATAGAAAGGACCCAGTTGAATTGGCACCAATTACGTCATAATCTAAGGGGGATAACTCAGGCCTATTTCGCTCGTAAAACGAAGGCTTCATAACGGCATATCATTTTCACACTATTGTGAGCTTCCTACTTTCACTGTGAAACAAAATGAGTGTATATTTTCAAACACAGATACTAACTAATTCTAAAATTGCGTTTTGTTTAGAAAAAGAAAGAAAGTGATTTTTGCGTGTACACTTCCCCTTTAACATGACAGTCGGAATGTTTTTTCTTATCATGCAGCCTCAAAAAGCTAAGCTACGGCTACAGCTACAGCTACAGCTACAGCTACGGGGTGCGCGACTGAAGCCGTCAAACTCATCGTCTGTCTCTCGCTTCAGTGGGATAAACATTTGAACGGAAGAGACTTGGCATAGCTCGGAGGGAGTGCTGCCATACAATCTCAGTCATCTATTAGACATTCCAGAATGTTGTTTTGTTCAGTTTTCATTTTTTGAATAGAGAAAAATATTTTTCAAAGTGTAATCTGGAATGGAAGACGCTCGAAAAAGCTGTTTTAATGATTGGCTAGTGTCGACTTTTTGTTTGACATTTCATTGGTGGGCGACGTTCACGAAAGGTCGTTGTTACGTGACCTGTATTCTCAGATCTTTGTGTTGCGGTAGCGGGAACCAATATCTAATATTAATGACTGAAATGTCTTGGATCCATTCGCCACCAAAGCCCTCTTCCAGCAATATCACGGCAGGGGATACCGAATATGGGCTTCATACATTGTACCCATGTCGGGAATCGAACCCAGGGCTTCGGCGTGACGAGCGAACGCTTTAACCACTAGGCTACCCGACCGCCCCAAAAAGCGTTATAAATGAACAAATAATTGGAAAAGATGTTTCTGAGTACTATTGTTTGTTTGTTTGGTGTCAAACGCTGCACTCAGCATTATTCCAGCTATATGACGGCTGCCTGGAAATAATGGAGTTTGGACCAGACAATTAATTGACATAATGAGCATTGATACACAAAATTGCGATACGATGATATTCATCAACCAAGTCTGCGAGCCTGGTCACCCGATCCTGTTAGTCGCCTCCTATGACAAGCATAGTCGCCTCTTACGACAAGCATGGGATGCTGAAGACCTATTCTAACCCGAATATTCTCCTGAGTACTGAGACATGAGAGGAAATGTTTATGCTACAACACGTTCCCGTCGCATTTGAGTCGTGGATTGTAGCAATCATCAAAGAACGGTGTAATTTCGTTGAACTTCTAATTTTAGGGTCGTGTAAGTCGAACCGACTTTATGGAGGCGATCGCCGTGAGTAGATGCAATATTGCTGATGCGGCGTTAAGCAATAAACACTGTCACTCATGGTGGTGTGTGAATATAGTTTTACCCCGCTTTCAGCAATATTCTAGTAATATCACGTCGGGGGACACCAGAAATGGGCTTCACACATTGTTCCCATGTGGGGAATCAAACTCGGGTCTTCGGCGCGACGAGCGAACGCTTTAACCCCTCAGAGTTCAGAGTGTTAATCATACTAGAACATATAAGTCCCTGACAGTTACATCCCCTGACAAACAACGGGGAAATCCACTAATTGCGTATTCCAGCTGCTATTGTATATTCCCATATCCTCATTTAAAACAACACGTCTCACTTCTTAGACCCCACGTAAGTTGCTGGCCGTGTCTGAGCTTCCTCATAAGAAATAAGGACGTTTCCGTTTCAACACTTTGTTTGCGAATGTGTACCTACCTGTTTTAATTTTACATGACACAGCAGGCACAATTTATGGATGACAACCTCTTTATTTTACTGTGAATAAAGCGACAAAATCCTTTCTATATCAAATAGAAATCTCATGTGTTTATAAATCGCTATCAAATAGAAATGATACCAGATATTAGCGAAAATGTATTAATATAATATAATATAATATAATATAATATAATATAATATAATATAATATAATATAATATAATATAATATAATATAATATACATAATAAGATAATGTAGAGAATGTAAGGAAATCCATACTTTAAAAATCACGTTTTCTTTGTCGGTATCACGTAACCATGACAACGACATATAGACATGTGAGTTAATCTCTACCGGAAATTAAACCAACTATAGTCATTTCTGAAACATGTCTTCTCCAATTTATCTGTTTGGCCTTTCAGTTGATCTGCATCTCTGAAACCCAGCGCCCTCCACCATCTAATCTTTGTCATCCATTGATGTTTAAAAGTTGAAAATAAAGTCGACTAATTGCAGAATCTCGTAAAGTAATCCTGCACATTAAAGATCTTTTGTATCTCACAGGAGAACAGAAGGTATCGGCATGGCTGTCCTTGTATGATAAACCCTTAAAAGCACAAACACAACCGTCATTGATGGTGGATTAGGGCTATAGCTTATCGGAGTTGAGCAACGGATGTCAATGTAAATAGACCAGAAGGCACAGCGTCCTGTATCGGCGTCTCTTTAATAATACTAATTTAAACAATTAATTTTTTTCAAATCTGAAATCTAACTGAACATGAAATGAGATTTGATTGTTTTTGTCAATTATGAAATAAGATGACGTTTTTGAAACCTCACTGGCATTGGTAACTTTTCCAGAAGGTTCCTAGGAGTCGATGGCGAGGTAACCAACGAG